CTTGCCACGCAGTAATTTTAACGTTTCTCCTGATGTGTGACCTAGGCTTCAATTCCTGTGCTATTTGGACTCTGTATGGGTGTAACTTCAAATTTTTTTGTTAAAATCCGCTGTGTAGTGGAATAAGTAAGGTCCAGTTGCTGCGATCGATGACGAATCGAGGTTCTTGGATTTTCGGCCACACTTTCGACAACAATAGCAATATTGTGTTCCGACCGATCTCTACGAGCCAGTCTAGGGGGAAACAGACGCATTTACTGGCAGCTCAGTTTTTTTTTTGGAAAAACGGTCACACCCGTCGATTTTGTTTTCGAGAGGGACACAAGTTTGGCAAAAAATCACGTTAACACGTGCAGCCCCCTGGGCGGGGGTGACACCAACCCTAAAATCTTAAAAGGAAAGGGGGGTCGAGCGATACCTAATTTTAAAGGTCTTTCAATTCCCTTTATAATGATGTAAAGTACATGAGCTTCAGTTCAGTAGTTTTGAAGATTTATTGCTTTAAAGCTTAAAGTAGACTTTAATAGGTACATCAGATTAGTTTGTACTACTTTCAGAAGAAATTTGACCAAAAGAATTTACTTAATATGTAAATGCTTTTCTTTACTACGCCCATGGTTTGTTTATCATTTTGTTAAGGAAATATCTCGTACTTATTTTAAATAGGAATTTAGTACATAGTTGGCGATTGATTTCACCAAATCAGTGCGCTAATAGAACAGCAGAAATATACTAAGTGACATATAAATCCGAACACCCAGTTTAAATGGTTTTATTTTAATAAAAGTTGGTGAATGTATTTATCTTACTGTAAATAACAAGTGAAAAAATTTTCAGCCTAATCAGTTGGACATTCCGCTTTTTAAACTGCTTTTTTTTAATTCACTAACGCTCTAAAAATGAATATTTCAGCCACAGTAAAGAATCAACCTTGGCGGATTTTGGTTCTTGACATCCTTTACGATCGGTTACGATGCCTAGAGTTCGGAGACCTGTACGATTTCGTCAACTCAGTGAGTTTGATAGGGGCCGTATAGTGGGACTTCTTGAAGCTGGACCTTCTTTTCGGGCAATTGCAGTTAGAGTGCAAAGAAGTGTAGACACTGTGGTTAGGTGTTGTCAGGCATGGCTTCCAGAAGGCCGTACGCAAAGAGCAAGGGGCACTGGACGCCGCCGTAGAACAACAGACCGTGAAGATCGCCGCCTAAGATTATTGGCCTTAAGGGACCGTTTCTCCACTACCAGGTCCATTGCAAATGAATGGTTTGCAGAACACGGAAGACCTATTGGCATGCGAAGTGTTTATCGACGAATGAGAAGTTTTGGCTTGTTTTCATACCGGCCACACTGGGTCCTCCCTTTAACTCGAGAACACCGACGTAATCGCCTTGAGTGGTGCAGACAACGGTCACTCTGGGATCAGTATTGTCTTTAGTGACGAGTCTCGATTTTGTTTAGGCATGCACGATGGTCGTGCCAGGGTTAGAAGGCGACGTGGTGAAAGGAGGAATCCACAGTTTTTTGTTGAAATACATGTTCATCACACTGTTGGAGTTATGGTTTGGGGTGCTATAGCTTATGGTTCCAGGTCACCTTTAATCTTCATCAGAGGTAACATGAACGCGCAGCGTTATATCCACGAAGTTCTAGAACCCCATCTTTTACCCTATCTTGACACCCTGGCAGATCCAACTTTCCAACAAGATAATGCCCGACCACATGTTGCAAGAGTCACAATAGACTTCTTTCAACATAATGATGTCACATTGTTACCATGGCCACCAAGATCTCCCGACTTATCCCCAATTGAGCACGTGTGGGATATGATGGGTAGGAGATTGCTCAATTTGCAACGTCCTCCTCAGTCTCTAGAAGCACTTTGAGAGGAGTTGATGGTTGCCTGGAATGAGATACCACAGGAGGACATTGACCACCTGACCAGAAGCATACCTTGGAGAATGCGTAGCACATCAGGGTGCATCCACACATTATTAAAGGTCAAAGGACTTTAAAGCACTGCAATCATTTTGAATTTTTTATCATTTACTTATTATGCTTCATTAAGTACTTATACAAAATTTTATTAAAATAAAACCATTTAAACTGGGTGTTCGGATTTATATGTCACTTAGTGTATTTAATGAGCCACATGAGAACAGTCACGTGCATCGAAAATACGTTCTAGGACTAAATTTCTGGAAACTAGGTCAGTCGCCAATAAAAAACGGAACATTGAAAATCCCATAAGGAACGAAGCAATAGAAGTGGGGGTTTTAGGGCAAGTTTATGTAGATCCTACATTAAGTACCCGCAAATTGGAGACTTTGTGTGGTGTTAGTCGACGTACTGTCCAACGGATTCTAAAAGCCCATAGTTTCCATCTGTATAAAATTCACCTGGTACACACGCCACAATATAGATTATAGTGTGCTATTAGAATAAAACAATATACAGGGTTTGTCCGGAAAGTAATAGGACTCATTTTCTTCCGCCATGACTGTACTTCGGCTGGATTCGGTAGGGGGCGTTCTTAGCTAACGAATGAGCGGCTGGTCAGTTGTCTCCGAACATTTGGAGAGTCAGGACAGGCATTTTCGCGCGACGTGTTTCTGTGAGTGGTGCAAGCCAAAAATGCAGCGTTCGTTAGAGCAGTGGTACCCGATTAAATTCTGTGTGAAATTTGGTAAATCTGCGACAGAGACGTTTGATATGATCAAGCAGGCTTACCCAGGTGTTGTTTTAGCAAGAAGTGGTGTGTTTCGGTGGCACCAGGTCTTTTTGGAAGGCCGGGAAGAGGTCGCTGATGAAGATCGTGCTGGAAGACCTTCGACTTCGACAAACACCGATAATGTGACTCGTGTGCGCGAAGTTTTGAACTCAGACCCTCGACTAAGTATTCGTTTAATTGCCCAGATGTTAAATTTACCAAAATCTGTGGTTCATGACATTGTGACACAGCATTTGAACACGCGCAAGGTGTGCGCGAAGATGGTCCCAAAAGTGCTCACTGACGACCAGAAATTGCAGCGAGTGGAAGTGTGCCAAGAAAGTTTGAATATGTGTGAAAGTGACCCCTAATTTTTGAATAACGTAATCACAGGTGACGAGTCATGGATCTTTGAGTATGATCCCGAGAAAAAGAGGCAATCTTCCGAGTGGCCTTACGGCGTCTCCTCGCCCAAAAAAGGGAAGAATAAGCAAATCCAAAGTGAAAACGACGCTCATTGTCTTTTTTGATATCAAAGGCATCGTTCACAATGAATTTTTTCCTCCTGGACAAACCGTCAACGCCAAGTTTTACGTGGAAGTGCTCAGGAGACTCAAACGAAGGGTCAGTCGGGTCCGACAAGACATCGCAGCCGACTGGAACTTGCACCACGACAACGCCCTGGCTCACACCGCCTTTTTTGTGAAAAGCTACCTGACCAAGCCCGGCATCCCATCGCTTCCGCAGCCACCCTATAGCCCACATGTGACCCCAGGACTTTTTTTTTCCTCGCCTGAAAAGGCCAATGAAAGGCAAGCATTTTGAGACGACAGAGGGGATCCAAGCATGCACCGCGGCTCTGAAGGCTATTCCGGAGAATGCCTTCCGTGATGCCTTCAATGCTTGGAAATCGCCCTGGCAGCGCTGCATCGACGCAGAAGGAGCCTATTTTGAAAGTTTTTAAAGAATTGTAACGATTGGCTCAATAAATTTGTTTAAATCGACTCAGTCCTATTACTTTCCGGACAAACCCTGTATTATCGACTCACGCGTACGCATCCATTAGTTTACACTAGATAGAAGCGTTAGTGGAAAAGCAAGTTCAGGAATGGGAAAAATGCGATTTAAGCTTACCAGTAATCTCGTTTGGGATGGCCGTGTGTCAGGATTCGTGCACCTGCATTACTGGGTGAGGCAAGCAAAACAGTGAGGGCAACACGAGATGCATTATTCTATTAGTCCGGTCAATGTGGTATATGACGCCAGAAAAATATAAAACAGCAGGAACGTTTCAAACATATACTCGGTGACACTAGAAGTGTTACACCCAGAAAAAATAATTTATTCAACTTGATTTTTTGGCAACGAGGTAGACTTACATCAGTAATAAGAAAAAATTAATAATGTGTACGTCTAGAGCATTGATTCCCAAAGTAGTCTATATCGACCCCTAGGGGTCTATGACAACCTGCAAGGGGTCTACGTCAGCGAAAAAAAACATTGGGGGTCCATGAAATGAATATGGGGGTCCACGATAGTGGATCTCAACACATACACTGATACTACCTATTTACTTACATCATACTATCCTATAATATCAAAACGTATACATTATTTATAAAAGTACCTATGAAGTAAAACATTTATTATATATGTTTATAAAATTGTGTAAGTTGTAGGATGTTGGTATTCGCTTTGTGGTCGCAATACATTTTGAAATTGTAAAAACCTGAGAGTCGCAGTCTCAGAGCTTCGCTACCTTGCACTGACTTGTTCAAATCGTCACTCTATAAATACGAATGTGGGACAAATACGTTTATTCGTTTCCTGAGTCACAAATTATAGTGAGTCAGTGTTATTTTGTTTGAGAGTGCTGGAGAAAAGTAAGTACACTATTTTTTATTAAATTTTAGTTTTGTACTCGTAGTTAGCAAAGATAGATAAATTACGCCAATCATGACTTTAGTTATTAGTATATAGTTAAATATTCAATCATGCAAAATTACACAAGTACTCCTCAATAGTTTCTTTTTGAAAGTTTTAGCAAGCGGTAATGTAATTACAGTGCAATCTCCGTAATTCGAGCTAATTGTTGCAAGAAGATGTTCGAATTATGGAAATTCAAAAAATATTTTTAATATACAGCTGCTGGATTTTCTGTCTTATTTAAATAATTTAATTTTGCCCACAGATGACTGATGCCATGTCCGAATCTAAAAAGAAATGTAGACCGTACAGTGTTGATTATTTGAAATTTGGCTTCATTCCATCATTGCCGGACAAACAATCGCCTATGTGCCTTTTATGCAACAAAGTTTTGGGCAATGACGCTATGAAATCATCTAAACTGCAAGATCATCTGAGAAGATTGTACCCTGATAAAACAGAGAAAGATTTGAAATACTTTCAAACACTCAAAGATAAATTTCAGAAGAGACCTACACTGGACAGAATGTTCGCTTCGACGTCACAAAGAAAGGATGATGGTTTGCGGGCGTCTTACAATATCTCGTTACTTATAGCAAAATCCGGAAAACCGCATACTATCGGAGAGAAGTTAATTTTGCCAGCCGTTGAAGAGGTTTTAAAAACTGTTTTACACAAACCTGCATCTGATATCATTAAAAGAATTCCCTTAAGTAACAATACTGTTGAAAGACGTATTGGTGAAATGAGTTCTGATATTGAAAGCTTCTTATGTAATTACTTGCAAACGACCCATTTCTCTATACAACTGGACGAGTGAACTTTACCTGATAATGCAGCATTATTATTGGCATATGTTTGTTTTATTATGAATCAAGAAATCTACGAAGAACTGCTCTTCCCAAGAACTTTGATAACCGACACTAAAGGTGAATCAATATTTCAGGTTTTGAAGGATTACTTCATTGAAAAAGCAATTCCTTTATCAAATATAATATCAGTAGCTACAGATGGAGGAGCACCTGCCATGGTTGGACGTTATCGTGGATTAATAAGCTATTTAAAACAAAATGTGTCAGGGGTGTTAGCAATACATTGCGTTATGTTTGACAAGATTTTTTGCCCTTTTTGAGACTGTTTTAGAATTTCTGGATACTAAAGATACAATTTTAAAAGAAAATTTAATGAAGAGGAAAACAGACATCGCCTATTTAACAGATTTGTTTACAAAATTTAATATGGTTAATTTGCAATTACAAGGCGACAGTTTAAATTTGATTAAAACAAAGGCCATCTTATCAGCGTTTCTTGCCAGAGTTAATGAACTAATGAAGCAAAAATTGGACGGGGCGAATTTTCTCAGTTCCCCAATTTGTCACAGACAAGCTGCCAGGAAGACGATGTTTCAACTTACGTTCAACATTTATTAGCCCTCTATTCAGATTTTGAATCTAGGTTTGAGGATATTTTGACTATGGTAATATCACCGTGGATAATTAATCCATATGGTGACATAGAAGAAACGAATGTCATAATACAAGAGAAACCGACTAAACTAAGTACAAACGAAGAACTTAAGGTTCAGTTTAAAAACGGATATCAGCAATTCTGGCTGCAAAACAACATACCCGTTACTTATCCCGTATTATGGAATATAGCGAGGAAATTTTTAATTTCCTTTCCATCGTCATACCTAGTGGAAAGGGGGTTCAGCGCTGTTACCAATCTCCTAACGAAGAAAAGAAACAGACTGGACATCATTAGCTGAGGAGATTTAAGACTAACCCTTACAAAATTGACGCCAAATGTTGATAATTTATTATTAAAGCATCGAGTTCTCACTAAAAATATTGACTTATTGCTTATGTTATTTTATTTATAGTTTATTTTATGTTTATTGGTGTCTGACCAATAAATGCCCGCATTGGGAATAAGTGCCCGTATTGATTTTTTTAAAGAACCCCCTTTATAGAAAATATTTTTTTTAAAATTATTCTGAAAATTCAAGGATAGGTACACTAAAATTCGTTAATTTTTTGCCTATTTTTAGAGAACTTAAACGTATAAGAAGCGGAATTTAATCAAACTAACAGTGAAATTATTGTAGAACATACGTTTATGTTATAATTAATAAACCAGCTCGCTTATTGTACTATTTTAAGTAAAAAACTTTTTTTTTATTATTTTTCACTTTTTTTATTTTATCGCTCTTATTTTTTTCAATGCGGGCACTTATTCCCAATGCGGGCACTTATTGGTCAGATACCTGTTTATTCAATGTTACGTATATTTTACATAACAGATACAAAATTTTATTTTGAGTAGCTTTAATTTAAATTCAATTAATAAATGTATAAATTAACATGTGTTTTTACTTTAAGTTTTTAACACTAAACTTCACTACAGTTAGAAATTTACAGGAAATCAATAGTAAGTAGGGGGTCTACCCAACACGGAAAAACATGGCAGGGGGTCTACGACACAAAAAAGTTTGGGGAACTCTGGTCTAGAGCAATATGGAAACGTGCATTGAAAAATGACGTGTGGACAGCTCTCTAGATACGGCAGTAAAGTGGCTTGTAGGACATCGTCAACATAACGCGCCGCAGTCGTATTGCCTTGAACAAAGAGAAGTAGTGATCGGCTACCCTAGGCAATAGCCTCCAAATCATTACTTCAACAGCCTTGTGTTCATGCCTCTCAACAGCAAATCCAATATCACGCGGTTCTCAATGGCGGCATCTCTATGACCATTGTGAGTACCTAAACAGAATCGCGATTCGTGACTGAAGATGACATTCTGCCATTCTGCCACCCAATGCTACCGTTCTCTCGTCCAGTTCAAACGTTGATGGCGATGAGGTGATTGCTCTACCTAACGAGCTCTTTCATTATTTAAGCACCGGTGGCGTTAAGAAGTTCCAAATTTTCCACAATGTCTTCCTTACTGGAGCTAGAAAGTTTCCTATTCACTTAAGATGGCTCATGGTTACAATTACGTGAAAGCTTTAGGCACTGCAATGGTAGATAACAGGAGTGATGACAGCATAACTGTAGGAAGTTTTAATGGGAAAATATAAACTGTCAGCTATTTTGACATACCATTCTATCTTAAAAAAAGTTAATATATACTAAGTGACATATAAATCCGAACACCCAGTTTAAATGGTTTTATTTTAATAAAAGTTGATGAATGTATTTATTTTACTGTAAATAACAAGTGAAAAAATTTTCAGCCTTATCAGTTGGACATTCCGGTTTTTATACTGCTTTTTTTTAATTCACTAACGCTCTAAAACTGAATATTTCAGCCGCAGTAAAGAATCAACGTTGGCGGATTTTGGTTCTTGACATAATTTACGATCGGTTACGATGCCTAGAGTACGGAGACCTGTACGATTTCGTCAACTTAGTGAGTTTGATAGGGGCCGTATAGTGGGACTTCGGGAAGCTGGACTTTCTTTTCGGGTAATTGCAGTTAGAGTGCAAAGAAGTGTAGACACTGTGGTTAGGTGTTGTCAGGCATGGATTCGAGAAGGCCGTACGCAAAGAGCAAGGGGCACTGGACGCCGCCGTAGAACAACAGACCGTGAAGATCGCCGCCTAAGATTATTGGCCTTAAGGGACCGTTTCTCCACTACCAGGTCCATTGCAAATGAATGGTTTGCAGAACACGGAAGATCTATTGGCATGCGAAGTGTTTACCGACGAATGAGAAGTTTTGGCTTGTTTTCATACCGGCCACACTGGGTCCTCCCTTTAACTCGAGAACACCGACGTAATCGCCTTGAGTGGTGCAGACAACGCTCACTCTGGGATCAGTATTGTCTTTAGTGACGAGTCTCGATTTTGTTTAGGCATGCACGATGGTCGTGCCAGGGTTAGAAGGCGACGTGGTGAAAGGAGGAATCCACAGTTTTTTGTTGAAAGATATGTTCATCACACTGTTGGAGTTATGGTTTGGGGTGCTATAGCTTATGGTTCCAGGTCACCTTTAATCTTCATCAGAGGTAACATGAACGCGCAGCGTTATATCTACGAAGTTCTAGAACCCCATCTTTTACCCTATCTCGACATCCTGGCAGATCCAACTTTCCAACAAGATAATGCCCGACCACATGTTGCAAGAGTCACGATAGACTTCTTTCAACATAATGATGTCACATTGTTACCATGGCCACCAAGATCTCCCGACTTATCCCCAATTGAGCACGTGCGGGATATGATGGGTAGGAGATTGCTCAATTTGCAACGTCCTATATACTCCTACAAGGTCCAAACCGGGCTTAACTGTTTGCATACCTCTATTTGAAATGCGCCTCTAAGCATGTGTCGTATAGAACACATATCTTATGTACTCGTATGACCTGTTTCGAGATGCGGCGGGGTTATAAAAATATAATTACTTTTATTAGACTGTAAAACGAAACATTCCCTGGAATGGTATGATATTGGATGGGATGCGAAATATTGCAAACATTATAAAAAGTGGCAGGGTACTCTCTATATAGGATAACTCAATAACAGCATTTCATGATTTATCCAAGAACCCACAAAATTGGAAGCGATGAAGAACGGAACTAGCAGGGTTTAGAATATTATCAGCATTTTGTACAACTAACATAAAGTTTTGACTTTTTAAGAAGGGTAGCCGTTTTGTGTTTTTATCGTAATTTTCATCTTTGAAGTCAGAATACCGAGGGACCGCTACTGTCATAAAGAAGATGAAGGTAATCGTGGAGATACGCAACTGGTATTATGTAACACTGGCTTGCTGCACCATGGAGGTGGCGCTACTAATGAAGTAACCAAATCTCCCAAGCACGCAAATTGGCTTTCAATTTTCTATTACTATCTAAGGTCAAAATGTCATTACTTAAAAACAATGCTTTATGTTAGTAGGAGCACGAAGTCTGGTGTAAAATAAAGCGTCTCTATCGATTGACGTTCGGGGGTTGAGTGAGGCGATGACTGGCCGCGCTGTTGCCGGCTTCATGCTTTCGGTGGAGATTTCGGTACTTGCCACGATAGTTGATCGCAAAATCGACGATGAGTTCGTAAGTTCAACCATGCGTATAACCTTCTTTAAGCATCAATTAATAAGTAATTTTTACGTCTTTCGGTTTGTGGTTCAGGCGGGATGGTGGCAGACTTGGTAGGCAGTGATATTTATATAGAGTGTAAACGTTATGATAGTCATTATTTAGATGGGTGATAGAGGGTGCTAAAAGAAGCAAAAAGATTCATATAACATGGGGGTCAAAATGGAACTTTTTTAGAGAAAAGCGACTTTAAAGTAAAATAAAATCTGACAACGCCGCAATGCCAGACGCAAATTACGACGGAACGCAGTGTAAACAAAGATGGAGTTGATTATTTTTGACTCTTAGGTATTATTTCATTATTTGATAATGTGCTCGTAAAATGCAAACAATTATAAAAAACGGACTTACCACTAACTGTCTCAGCGCTTCACCTGGTGTGTAAAAGTTTATTGAACGTATTGAAAAAATCCACTTATAAATAGGCAACACAATTTTGATACATCCATTGCTTTCTTTTTAAAACCCACACTGCACCTTTTTTGTATTTAAAGGAGGTGTTCAAAATGTCGTCCTCCACTTTCCACACAAGCTTCATTACGATAAACCCAGTTTCTTCTTACTCTAGGTCCTCGAAGTTGTCCATTTATTATTTCAGCCGCATTAAAATTTTTTTCGCGACGTTTTGCTTCAGTTGTTATTAGACCAGCTCCATAAATCATGTTCTCTCCAATACTAGAAATCCATCGGACTTAGGTCAGGAGATCTTGCTGGCCAT